AATGTATAACTTTAGAGCCTACAGGTCCACTCAGTCCTCCTTATTCTGCCAATCACTAAGACAAACAAGTTTGTTCACATTTTCGGAAGAGACTGTTGTCTGCCTCTTATTTACAGTGTCACCTAAAAGTGAGAATAGGTGTTCGCATGGCATTTTTGTAGCTGGCATTGCAAGGTATTTACGTTCCAGATATTCTAAACATTCATATGCCCCTTCATGCTTCGGCCACCATTCCAAGGACATGCTTCCATGCTGATGACACTCGTTTAATTAAAAAAAAAAAAGCATTAATTAAATTTGTGATCAAACTCCGTGGGGGAGAATTGTATGTCTCTTGTTCTTTTACACCCACATTCTGCCATATATTCCATGTTATAGCAGTCTCGGATGATGACCCAGCACATGTTCATATTAAGAATATTTTCACAAAAGATTTGACAACGCAAAGAAGGTACCAGTGTGACATTTCTAAAAATAGCTACAGTGCTCGACCCAAGGTTTAAGAATCTGAAGTGCTGTCCAAAATCTGAGAGGGACAAGGTGTGGAGCATGCTTTCAGAAGTCTTCGAAGAGATGCGGAAACTACAGAACTCAAACCATCAAAAAAGAAAATCAGCCTTCTGCTGGTGGTATCTGACTCAGATGATGAAAATGAACATGCGTCGGTCTGCTGTGCTTTGGATAGTTATCAAGCAGAACCCATCATCAGCATGGATGCCTGTCCTCTGGAATGGTGGTTGAAGCATGAAGGGACATATGAATCTTTAGTGCATCTGGCACATAAATATCTTGCGATGATGGGTACAAGGTGCTATTTGAAAGCCTGTTCTCACTTTCAGGTTATATTGTAAACAAGAAGCGGGCAGCATTATCTCCAGCAAATGTAAACAAGTTTGTTTGTCTGAGCGATTGGCTGAAGTAGGACTGAGTGGACTTGTAGGCTCTCAAGTTTTACATTGTTTTATTTTTGAATGCAGTTATACTTTTGTACGTAATTCTACATTTGTAAGTTCAACTTTCATGATCGAGATTGCACTACAGTACTTAGGTGAATTGAAAAATACTCTTTTTTTCACAGTGCAAATATTTGTTACAAAAAAAATAAAGTGAGCACTGTACACTTTGTATCCTGTGTTGTAATTGAAATAAATATATTTGAAAATGTAGAAAACATCCACAAATATTTACATGGTATTCTATTATTATTTAACAGTGTGATTAATTGCGATTAATTTTTTTAATCGCTTGACAGCCCTAATTTTAACATAGATCCCAGCATTTTTAGAGAGCTTTTCAAGCTTCCCTCTATTTGTGAATTTGGCCAGCAAGCTATTCATTCCAATTCAGGCAACAGTCTTGCCTCCATAAGGTCAAGATTGGCTTGTATTTTTCTTCTCTTCCCCTTCCTCCAGCAGCTTAAAATATGAGGGGACAACCACCATTAAACTGAGCCTGAAAATCCCAAAGCACAAACCCAAGGAATAGTAAGTGGTGTTAAAATGTCTCGCTTGTTTCTAACTGATAGTCATGTTGCAGGTGAACAAAGCTAACCTGAATTTTATGAGGAAACTCGTACGGAATGGTCCCGAAGTTCACCCTGGAGCCAATTTCATTCAACAGAGGCACACACAAATGAAAAGGTACTTATCTATAAAGGTTCACTTTCCACCTACCACCACTACCTGGTCTTATTGCTGAAGTGAAATCAGCAGATTATTCATCATTGGGACTCCTCTGGATTTTTTTTGTTTTATGTCATCTTTGATAAAGGATATCAACAATATTCCATGACCTAAAGGTAGCTTGTGCAAGCAAACGTGAACATAGATAAATCCTTCTGTTAGAACATTTTGGTGGGCATAGATTCAATGTCATTGCTAGTAAGCGACAGTAGGATTGCTACACGTGAATGACATACCCCTATTTCCTGATAACTTAAAACTAATTAATTTTTTTTCTTTAAGAAAACTGATTTTTCACGAATATCCTGTGTTTGCTGACTGCTCCATGTTTGCCATGGAGAATGATGTAGCTATTTGCTGTTTAGTTAACATAACTTTACTGTATCTTTGATATTAAACTGACCTCAGTCCTTATCTAAAACTTTTGTGAAAAACATTGTCCCTCAGTTCCACTCAGTGACAGAAACACTCTGTTAATATTTAATAAACTTGTAGGATGCATGTCTGGTTCAAAGTGGCTGTCACTGGAGTCTCTTTAAGAAACCAGAGTACAAATAAGAGGATGCTCTTTAGTTGTCTATTTCTTTGTTTTTATTTTCCATGAGATTTTGACTCTATTGACATGTTTTATTTCAAGGTTTTTGAAATATGGAAACCGTGAGAAGATGGCTCAGGAACTCAAGTATGGTGACATTGTAGAGAGGCATCTCATAGATGGGGATATAGTTCTGTTCAACCGACAGCCCTCTCTGCACAAGCTGAGTATCATGGCTCACATAGTGAGTATACACACAGCCTAGAACCTGGCTATCATGCAACTTTAACCTTTAGTGGTTTAGTTTTGTTTATTAATCTCTCACTCAAACTGTGTTGATTTTTTGCATCTTAAAATGATCCAAACAAAATAGTTTTGTGCTTGTGCATAGGAGTCAAAGTGAAACTGAGCAGTCTTTTGTTCAAATTCCACCGATTTTACATTTGTGCGTGTATATATGCATATCGATAGATGTAAAAATAAAAAAAAATTGCAGTGTTAGAACCCTGATATCTAAGAACATGCTGCATCTTGTACTTTGCAAGTAACGTTGCAGGGTCAAGGGTTTAATAAATAAATTCACTCAACTTTGGTTAAGTGACTTGGTGAGCCTCCAACAGTTTCTGTGTAAATTAAAACAAGTAATTAGATGTATCGTCTCAAGAGTCTTTATATTTTTTAAAAAAATGTAAAAGCACAGTTTGCATGGAAACCACTCTCAAAACTTGTAGATTCTGCAACCTTGTAAATTCGACGTGATTCACTGTGTTTGCGGCATCACTTCTTATCTGTTTTGCAGGCGAGAGTAAAGCCCCACAGGACCTTCAGGTTTAATGAATGTGTCTGTACACCATACAATGCTGATTTTGATGGAGATGAAATGAATCTTCATCTTCCTCAAACAGAGGAGGCCAAAGCAGAAGCACTGATTCTCATGGGGGTAAATGAAGTATCTTACTGTCTGACTTGTGGTAATGTGATATTGCATTTCTGTATGAGCAGCACCGTGTATTTTTCAGTTGCCGGTGAGAGCTGCATTCTTCAGGTAGGCTGCTTGAGTGCTTCAAGAGACCAATGCTAAATTCTGCAGCCAACTGAATATTCGGTGCTAGTGTTAGGGCACCTTCAGAAAACCAGGTGTTTGTTTTTTTTAACAGAATTAGAGGCATCACAGTGATACCTACTCAGTATTCTCTGAAAATGTGGTTTGTTCTGAGTGCATGTCTTCCTGTAGTGACATGCTGCAGAAATGAGGGGCTTTTGCTGTGGAATGTATTTTACCTTATACCACCACACATAATCTCCCCTCCCAACTGATAAGGCAACAGTGGGGCAGTGAGTTCCCTTTTCAAAAGTAAGTTGGGACTTCACGCCCATAGTATAGACATGACCTACAGCACCATAGCTATGCTGCTGTAACCCCCAGTGTAGATGCGGACTATAACAGTGGGGGAAGGTTTTCAGTCATTGTAGGAACTCCATATCCCTGAGCGACAGTAGCTAGGTTGATGGAAGCATTCTCCGTCGACTTATCTGTGTCTACACTGGGGGTTATGTTGGCATAGCTATGGTGCTCAGGTGTGGATTTTTCACCCCAAGGTTTGTTGGTATCTCGACCAAATTTTGAGTGTAGATCAGCCCTTAGGAGCCAATTGAGTTTTATGTAAAGCAGTGGCAAGTGCATCTGAGAAGACCCTACTGGGGAGACTCATGCTGTACCCTGACATTGGCTCCAGATATATGGGAGACCACTGGCAGCTACTTCACCTTCAGACTAGCAATTACTCATGCTAGGGGATTGAAGGTATAGTAGGTCTCCGTTATCTCCAGGCTGCCAAGACTACAGCCACACAGGACCCAGATCAGATTTAAGAAGTGAGGAAGTAGCCAGTGTAGGCACTTGATGAAACAGTCAGATCAATGGTGCGGTCACCCAACTCACAACTTTACAAGAGCCACCAGCAATACTATCCCTTGTACTTGTAATTTGACTAATAACTTGACCTATCAATTCAACCACTACATCAGTAGAAACTCCTCCTCCTCCTCTGACCAAAGATCTGATACAGTTAGACTCGACAGTCTTGCTAAACAGCCATGTGACATAGGTTTGTTATTAATGTCTGTCTCTCTCTGAGGTTTTACTTTTGTGTTTGGGAATCTACCTTTCCGGCATCTGTTGATTTACACACACACACACACACACACGATTGGAAAGTAACCACCCAAACGTGCCAGGTTTGGCTACCATTTTTCTTTTATGAGTAAAACTTGTTTGTATATATATGCCATCCCTCTGGATCCCCAGATCTGGTGGCTGGTGTTGAACACACAGCTTGCAAGGGAGTACGTATCTCTCCATGTCTTTCCCTAACCTAATCCATAGCTTAGATGTGTATGTGTATTAGCTGTAGGGATAGGATAGGGTCTAGAACTGGGGTTTCCTCCAGTTTACAGGATTTGTCCTACATACTAGAGTAAATCCTAACACTTAAGCTATGGGATTGGGCCTTTAATGTTTGTTACAAGCTCTGTCTTAAAAGGTCTGTTCTTTCAATTCTATTGCAATAGTAATGTATGTTAAATTAATCTTCTCTACAGAATATTTCAAGTATACTCATTTTTCATTCTTGTGTTCTACAGACCAAAGCGAACTTGGTAACACCAAGAAATGGAGAGCCTTTGATTGCTGCTATTCAAGATTTTCTTACAGGTCTGTATGTAAAGCTCATTTTAGAGATGTGTGTGACTTAAAAATTTTCTTTTTTTTTGAAAATCGATAATGTCCCATGTAAATCTATAAATTAACTTTTTATAAAAAATTTCTTTTACCCTGTTGCAAGACATATCAAAATGGATTCCCTGACTATGAAGCAATTGAACTGATGCTTCACAGTGCTTTTCAGTTACGATTTGGCATGAAGGGGTTACTTGTAATAGTAGGGTTAAAAAATATTATCTTTAAGTTAATGGTGTCACTTATGTGTCTGCAAAGTTATTTAATGTTATAGGAAACGTCCAGAGGGTATATCAGTGGCCGGAGACTTCATAAGGAAGAGGATGTTTGATAGCAATTCTCAGATGGTCTTTTAGACTTTAAATCTAATAGGAGAAAAATTAATTTTTTAAGTTTATAAATTGCTGGTACAGGCCTTCATTTAAAAATCATAAGTGCAGGGAAAGAATTAGAGCCAATATTACATCTGCATTGCTGTCATCTGTATCAAGTGGATAACATGTGGTCAGAGTAATGCTTAACATGCAATCATTTTTAAATTTTACTTCAGCCTGTCAGGTTAACCTTTTTTCACATTCCAGGTGCCTATCTTCTCACACTAAAAGACACCTTTTTTGACCGAGCCAAGGCCTGTCAAATTATTGCTTCTATCCTGGTTGGCAAGGATGAGAAGATTAAAGTTCGCCTTCCACCACCAGCAATCCTAAAGGTGTGTGGTCCTGTTCAGTTTTTTAAACTGTTGCAAAGCTTTTTAGCCATGATTTCTCTTGGGTGTTATGCATACTTGACCCATTCTCATAGCTGCCAAAATACAGAATTTTAGCGACAGTTGTTCTTAAAGTGGTTACTTGTGCTGTAAACCTATTGTGCATGGGAATGGAGACAGAAGCAGGTCTTGATGCTGCTGCTTTAACTTCGCAATAGATCAGGCAGCAGTGCTGTGAGGATCATAAGTCAGGGCCATGGGTAGAGAAAAGTGGTGGAATCTAGGAAGGGTAACTAGAGCACTGCAGACTACCTGTCTTGGTGCAGTGTGCAGTCCATCTGCCCCAAATCATCAGTGCTTTGGCTCTCCACTACACTGAGTCAGCTATGCATATCGGTATGTTGAGGGTTCCTTATGGTCCTGCTGCCTCAACATACCTACTGTGGTTTGAAAGAGGGAAACCCTAATTTGATATATCTGAGCAAGCTTCTTAAACCAGGAATATAGATGCAGGTGAAGTTCCTCACAGATATGAGGGGTTGGAATGCAGCAGGTGAGTGTCCCCTCAGAGCCTATACTTTGCAATATTCACTGACCCCAGTCCTGATGGGATTGGACGCAGGAGTTAGTGGGGGCTGCATATTGGTGCATCAGAACTTGAATGGGTCATCTGGTACTGATGCTTTAGCTGCTGCCACCTCCGTGCATTGAGGAGTCCTGTGGATTCAACACAGATGGTTTAGTGAAAAGGAACTTGATCCTCATCTTTCCCATTCAATCTCCTGCCCCCCTCCCCACATTCCTACTGACTTGTCCTCAGCTCCTACACCACAAAACACAGCAACACCATGGGGAGTCTAGAGCATTTAAGATAGTGAAAACATCCTAGGGATCATGGGGGACTATTAAGGGGGTAGTGGAGCTTGAGCTTGGGGAGCAGGATCTGGGATGAGAAGTGGAGCTAAGAAGAGCTCTGCTCCATAGCTGCCTATGGTCCTATTTCATATTCAGCTGCACAATCTTCCTTCTGATGACATAATTAAGTTTATATCATGGTGTTTATACATCACCAGTGTACATGTGTCTGGAGAAAATAGTCATGCACTTTTTATTGTGATGTAGAGGAATTTGATGTATGCGTTGTGGTTAACTGCTTAATCAAATATTAAGTAAACGACTTGCAAATGAACGTGTATACTGATACCTAGAGTGAACTTAAAATTGATAAATATCTATGTGCTGGAGAGTGTAATTATTAATGTGTTCAGAGGATAGGGGAATTGGAGCATCAAAGGATAATAGTCATCTAAAGCAAAGACCAAAGCATTTATGGGAAGTCTGTTTTGAGGTGAGGTAAAGGTTTTCCTTTGTAACAAGACACTGCGTCTATGACAATAACATTTTGCCAGATGACTGTAGATTTAGATGTTTGTGTCAGCTGCTTATATTGGCTAGCTGTATTTCATCTGGCTGAAGTACACAATAATGTGATCTCTAAGCCAAATGCATTCATGAAAACACTGTATACTGAACAAGAGAAACTAGATTCACAGCACCGTAAATGCAGGGAATGAAGTGAAGCTGGCAATCATCTACATTTTAACTTTTTTTTACTTTTATTTCAACCAGTGTCAGAGAGAAGTGGAGGGGGTATTCATTCATTCAGACATCTGCCCTCTGTCCTTCAACCAAAAATATTGAAGTTCCGATTCCTTGGGGTAGTGGGGTTTCTGTTCTCAGTTAAGTGAATAATGGCAACCATCTCAGCAAACTGACTGGCACAGGTTGTTCCACCAAGCTATTAACCACAGTTTTAGAGCAGCATATTGAAGTTGGCTGTTTTGGTACTATAACCCTATCGAAAACATTCTGACCGTTTCTGATTCTTTCCTTTTGTTGCCTTCAGCCTGTAACCCTGTGGACAGGAAAGCAGGTCTTCAGCCTCATTCTCAAACCTAGCGATGACTGTGCTGTGAAAGCCAATCTCCGAACCAAAGGAAAACAGTACTGTGGCAGAGGGGAGGATCTGTGTGTCAATGATTCTTGTGAGTGACCTTGCCTGCTCAACTGCTAAATTATGAGTTCATAACAGATCTGCACCAGTGACTACTTTTCTGTTACTAGTCCGTAATTGAGTTCACAGCAGGGAAATGTGACTGAAGAAAATGCTGTTAAATGCTATTTTTCGCTGTTAAACATGAAAATGCGAGTAAAATATGCAAGAATGTGATGAATATTTGATTCACGTACAAAATAGGCAATTTCTCAAAAGTTGGTGTTTGCTCAGACATAGAACACTATGGGAAAATCGTGAATTTTATTAATAAAATATTTATATAGCATTTAACTTGTCATGACACCTTACAGAGATTTTAAAAAAAACATAGTCTCTGCCCCAAAGATCTTACCATTTTAAACTTGACAAATGCAGAACTTGAAGCTAGACAAAGGAAGGTGATAAGGAAAGTAGAGATGGCGCAAAACAGAGTTGCTATACAGCGAGCATATTACACATCGTCTGATATTATTAAACCAGCAGTCCATAGCTAACCATTTCTGTAACCAGAAAAATCCTTCCTCTGTTTTAGTGAGGTTTTTATCCCATGCCCCTACCACCTTTTTCTTCACCATGAACTAGCTGCAGGGGAGCAGAGCAGTGTAAACCCAAGAAAATTCTCCCACCATAGGAAGAAATTGCAGAGGAATGTAACAGGCCTTAGAAGATGCAGTGGAAACCCCAGTTTCTCGGAGTCGGCAGCCTCAGTGGAAGCGACAATCCGTCTGAGTTTCTCTGAAGCGAGTGTTGCAGTCTTTGGCATACCTGTTCTTTTGTGAAGCAACAACAGTCCAATCTGGAAAAGGTCTTCTGCAAGATCTCATGAAATCCCAACATGGCTTTTGCAGTGTACTCAGTCATTAATGAATATCAATGGCTGTTATTTACTGTTCAGCGAGTTTTGTTGCATCCTTCTAAAAAAAATAAATTAATTAAAACTAAGTCAGGTCTGCTGGTAGAGCTATGTCAGTTGGGGGATGAGAAGTGTGATACCTGACCCACATAGCTGTGCCAGCATAAGTCCTAGTAAAGATGCAGTTACGCCAGCAAAACTGCTTTCACTGGTATAGCTTGTTTGACTTGGGGGGGAGGGGATTACTATAGGAGGTTACTACCCTTTGCAGGTATAGCTGTGTCCACACTAGGAGCACTTAATAGACCAGCTTACCGATTCCTAGTGTACATGTAACTATGGTGTACCTTTTAGTGAGCCAGGACAGTGCAGTGATTATGTCCATCTATATACCCAAGCCCTTCCTTGAATGTAGCATATTGGAGTTGGAGTGCTCACGTATTAAGTTGCTTACTTTCTAGTGCTATTGTTCCCAATTACTGACTTGTTCCTAAATAAAATAACTCTTTTCAATGATTCTTCGCTTACTATAGTCCCATTTTTATCAAAGTTAAGTGGCTTTTGGTTGGGAAACTGCTTGCACTGATTTGCCTACTGTGTTTTAAACTATGTGAACAAAAATGGACTAATTTAAGATATCGCTCAGAAGATTTAAAATTGCTTTTTATCACATTTAATTCTTCCATGGGAGTTAGAAAATTAAAATTTGCAGTGTTAAGGTTGCTTTAAGTTATGGGCTACTGCTGTTTCTTAACCAAAAATCTGGCAATTGAAGCATTTACCTGGGGAAAGGGTGGGAAATTAGACTTAAAAATGTATGGGAAATGGAGTTGCAGTAGGAGGATTGTTTTGGAGACACTTTCACTGCATCCTTTTTATTCAGTGTTCTGCTTCTATAGGCATAATGTGTGTGTTTTGGGGCTTTTTTGTTTTGACAGCCCACACTGTTATGATTTAAACTCTATTAAATTACTAGTAACCTAAGTTAAGCTCTTGGTCTCTTCGGGTGTCAGGCTTTCAGTATTTTCCTTTGTGCCTCCAGATGTTACAATCCAGAATAGCCAGTTGATGAGTGGCAGTATGGACAAAGGAACCTTAGGATCTGGATCCAAGAACAATATCTTTTACATTCTGCTGAGAGACTGGGGGCAGGTAGAGGCTGCAGATGCTATGTCACGGCTAGCCAGGCTTGCTCCTGTTTACCTCTGTAAGTAACCTGGGAGGTGCCTTTCGTTGTAGAATATTTTAATGTAACCTAAATCCAGGAAGGTTTCTATTAAAAATGTAGCCTATTTAGACAAGGAAAAATCAATAAGGCACTTTTCTCCATTTCCATCAACTTAGTATATCTGTTCACAACTTTGTCTTGAATTCAAGTGATGTATTTGCAAATGCCATATAATGGAGAGAAATTCTGTGATTGTTATCTGCATAGAACTCAGTGAACTGAACTTTTTTATATGGCAGTATCTTTTTTTGTAATTTTACTGTAGCTAACCGTGGGTTCTCAATTGGGATTGGTGATGTAACTCCAGGACAGGGACTGCTAAAGGCTAAATATGAACTTCTGAATGATGGCTATAAGAAATGTGATGAATACATTGAAGCTTTGCGCACTGGTAAGCTGCAGCAGCAGCCTGGCTGTACCGCAGAAGAGACATTAGAGGTGAGTGGTGCTTCACTTGTTAAAAATAGTGTTGAATATGAGTGCCATGCACTCAGGCCAAGACACTCGGGTTTATTAAATCAAACCTTTATTTTAACCAAAAGCATACCTTGCTGTTACAAATTCTGTTAAAGTACGAAACAGCAGACATACAGAAAAAAGCCATGGCTAGTTACCTTCTCCTGGGGCTTAGGGTGTCATGATGGATTTTTCCTACGAAGCTCTGACTGCCCCTTATATTACACATCCATATTACATATTCATTACTTAACATTCATGACACAACGGTGACTGGAAGATCAGTATCTTATGTAACTCATACAATACTCCTGTGCAAACTTTAATTGGCATGTAACTTTCTGCTGTCATTATTTTTGTGGTGGTCTCTTCTCTGGTTGATTGTGCACTATTGTGCATATTTTGGCCAGGTCACTGTGACCTGTTTCTCTGCATAGGGGTTTTTTGGGACCTTCCAGTCCATTTTTCTAACTGCTTTTGACAACACAATTTACAGATACATTATTCTTCAATTTAAGCACATCCTGTTTTAAAAATGTCGTCCTCTGTTCTATATAGCTGTTGTAAACAAGTTTACTTGATGACAAGATCATTTAAAGAAACATTTTGCTCATGTCAGGCAAGCTGCAAACTAGGCCAAAGCCAGCCTTACTTACAGACAGGACTGTTAAAAATAAGTCGTCATACCAGCCTATTACAAGATAGGAGTACTTGTGGCACCTTACTCCTGTTCTTTTTGCGGATACAGACTAACACGGCTGCTACTCTGAAACCTATTCACCTGGATCAATCAGTCTTCAGCTGTCGTTAAGACTGGCAGACGTATTGTGATCGGCGCATTCTTCTCGCATTCTTGCCTTTCTTCTCCACGTTCGTCGGAAACATTTTACAATGTAATCTTGCCACCTTCTTGGAGGCCGACCAGGTGGTCTTTTCTGTTTGCGCGGGTACCACTCAGTAATGATTGCAGTCCACCTATTGTCCGTGAACCGTGCTATGTGGCCTGCCCATCGTATCTTATTATATCTGCTTTCCACAACAATATCTTCCACACCACTGCATTCTCTAATCGTTTCATTTGGGATATGATCCAGAAGGGAAATTCCCAACATAGTTAGTTCCATTGCCCTTTCAGCTACCGACAGCCGCTGTTCTTCTCTCTTTGTCAGTGCCCACGTTTCACTGCCATACAGCATGGCTGGCAGCACTGTTGAATTAAAGATATTTGTACGTGTGGTCTTGTCGATTTTTTCCTTTGAGGATGTCCTTGATGGAATTAAATGCACACCATCCTGCCCAAATCCTTTGCGAGAGTTCTCCTTTCATGTCTTGACGCATATTTATTTCTTGGCCCAAATATATGTACTGTTCCACTTCTTCAATTTCTTCTGTTACCGTTATTCGGGCTTTTCGTAAGACATCTGATCGCATGTATTTCATTTTGCAACGATTCATTTTCAGACCGACCTGACTGCTTTCCTTGTCGAGTCTTCGTAGCATGCTCTGCAGTTGGTTGGTGCTTTCAGCAATTAGTATGATGTCGTCCGCGAATCTGAGATGAGATTCTCCATTTATATTAACACCACTCCTCCAATTGATCTTGTTCATAACCATTTCAAGGCAGGCGGTAAATAGTTTCGGTGAAATCGTATCTCCTCGCTTTACGCCTTTCTCGATTGGGCTGCGGAGGGGAGTTTTGAGGAGAGTAATGTCTGTTGTACATCCAGTATTCACTTCCTTCAACAAACTGATGTACTGCATGTTAATGCCCTGCTCTGTGAGCGCCTTTAATATTGCGTTGAACTCAATGCTTTCGAAGGCCTTTTCATAGTCGACGAAAGCAATGCACAGCGGGAGTTTGTATTCCCTCGCTCTTTCTAAGAGCTGGCTAAGGGTAAATATATGGTTGATCGTGCTGAAATTTTTTCGAAACCCTCCCTGATCTCTCGGCTGTTATTCATCCAGACTCTGCGAGAGTCGGTTCGTTATCACCTTTGTAAAGAGTTTATAGATACGAGAGAGCAGGCATATAGGGCGATAGTTCTTAAGATTTTCTCGATCCCCCTTCTTGTACAGCAAGATGGTATTCGACTCCTTCCAGCTTGATGGTATTTTTCCTTCTTCGAGATATCGACTGAATCTTAAAGCGAGGGCCTTCCAAAGTTTTTCGCCTCCTGCGGAAATCATTTCTGACGTTATTCCATCTTTGCCTGGAGCTTTTCCCTTCTTCATCTGGTGTTGTGCACTTTGGACTTCGCTGACGATTATTGGGGGGGACGCGTTCTTCTGACTCTTGGAGCGTTGGGAGAGGGATGTTGATTCTTGATTTGAACAGTTCTGTATAGAAGTCTTTGCAGACGTCCTCCATCCCTGCTCTGTCAATTACTGTCCGTCCTTGTTCTTCAGTGTTGTTACGCTCAATCTATACTGCGCCAATTCCCGCTTGCAGGTCCTGAGGCTCGTGCGTGATTCAGCTGTTTTTAAGGAGCTTTTCTTTCCGGAAGTTGTCAAAGTCGTCCTTCAGTTTTTGCCGTATAAGTATTCGAGGTTGTTATCCGAGTTCCTTTTCATATTTCTCCGCTTCTCTAACAAGCTTTTCATTTAGTTCGAGATTCTTCCCTTTGCCTTCATCTTTTCAATTTCAGCTGCTTTTATGCAACGTCTCAGCTTGTCAGCAAAGATACTATAGTCCTCGTCACACTTTTACGTCTGGCTCCAGTCAAACCCAGAAATGGTTTTCTTCAGCTTTGCTTCATCAAATGTCTTTGGGCGCTGTTTCCTGTTTGCCATCTGTAAAGCTTTCTTTTCTACTACTTCATCGAAAATCAACTTCGCTCTAAGCAGGCGATGGTCACTGCCGGTGTTGAAGGGCTGCACCACAGAGATGTCTTGAACAATGCGCTTTTTATTGACTAAAATATAGTCTCTTTCATTCTTACTCTTTGCGTTTGGCGCGATCCATGTCCACCTTTTTGCAATTTTCTTTTTGTACCAGGTGTTTGCCACGTACAGTTCTTTCATTTCTGCCATCGTTACCAGCCTTTCTCCTCTTTCATTTTTCGCTGCTGCCGTATCTCTCTATGAACTTTTCGCCAGCTTTCCCTCGCCCAACCTTAGCGTTGAAATCTCCCATCGTGACAGTATAAGTGGACTTTTGCGTGAGGGCTCTTTCGAGCTCTTGGTAGAATTCTTCCCCTTCTTCGTCCTTACTTGCACTTGTGGGAGCATAGGGCTGGATGACCTTGAGGATAGCTTTTGACTCCATCTGAAGATGCAGCACACCAATACGTGATATTAGCTGGCATAATATGACTTTCGAAACCCAATCCTTACTGACGATAAATCTTATTCCGCCAACGTTTCTAGCGCCATCTCCCTTTCCGAGCCTCACAGTGCTTCCATCCTTCCAGTTGACTTCCAACTCCTTCTTTAGTCGGGTTTCGCAGATACCGAGGATATCGCATCTTATCCCTTTCTTCTCCTCCATCAGATGATTTAACGTTTCCTCTCTCGCCAGCAACCTACAATTGTAAGTACACACAGCGAGCGTTGTCCTTTTCCATTTTGGCCTAGCATCTGACATTTTTAGCAACCTTTTGTCGCTCAATTTCCACTCCACCACCGAAGAATGGTTTGATGACATGCAGGGAACTAAGACTTATTTACTCGTGTTGTTTTAGACGTTAACTTTAAGCCATTCCACTGGCTAAGCGGGCAGGCATACATACCTCCTTAAGCTTAGCTAGCCTTCAACCTCTAAGGAGAAGGAAAAATGCTCTTTCCTCTGATAGAGCAATCCTCCTCCTTGGATTGGATAGTCCGACACCTTTGTAGCATGGTTAGACCTACCAGGGCATACGCCCCGCTACCATAGTTGTCAGACGGCCAGGGTCACCGCTGCACCACGATGAGGCGCTGAGGTAGAATTTTGCAAGATAGTTATCAGTGAGATTTGATTAATAGATTGTAAAATATGCAGTGGGTTCTAAATATGACTGTGTTTGAAAACTATGAGGAATGAATCGTTGTACTTAAATATGTGCCTAACATGAAGCACCTGGGTAGTCATGTAGAGGTCACCTCTTTAACAGTTTCAAGCCATTATCCTCTTATCTAGTATATTTCTAGAAATGCTCAATCACTGTTTTTCTTAAGATCTATAAAACTAAAATAGGATCTCACTTTGCTAGTCATCAAGTCTGATGCTGGTCACAAAATGCAGTAGTTTTGCCATACTTCTCAAAGTAGAGAGTTGTAGTAAGATCTCTTGTTACTAAATTTAATGCTTGCACCAAATACGTTTATAGAACATATATAAATAGACTTGACACATGAACAAAGTACATTTTGTGATGCAATATCTTTTATATACATTTGCTTACTGTCTTATTGACAATTTGCCAGTCTATAGTGGGTCTCCAGTTCTGTAGTTCACGAGAATCTTAGTAAAATGCATTTCAAAAAGCAGATTTTTTTTTTTTTTTTTACAATGTTCTTGTTTGCCTTTTTGATGCTATTTTAGACTTCATACTGAATACTACTGAAGGTTTTTTGGTGGCTAGCCTCAGTATATTGCTATGTACATATTTGTTACTAATACTAAATATCTAAACTCTCTGATTCTAGGCCTTAATCCTTAAAGAACTCTCTGTGATCAGAGACCATGCTGGCAGTGCCTGTCTCAGAGAACTAGATAAAAGTAACAGTCCCCTTATCATGGCTCTCTGTGGTTCTAAAGGTAAGATTAGTCAAGTTTTGGAATTGTGTGAAGTTACTGCCTACATCATTTGCCCTTAATTATTTGTGTTAATCATTATGTAGTCAGTTTTGTCTAAAACATGCAGTTGTGTAAGCATTAGATTCATAGCATGTATCATCGCTATCAATTCCTTTTGAGAGGGTAAAGCTAGCTTCTTTTTAAATTAACTTGTAAATAATCCTACTTTGTTTTATTTATTTAGCTGTTTATTACTCTACAATAAGAGCATCCATCCAGCACTCTAGGTGCCCTTGGGAATCTTGTGGAAATACACAAATAAAGACACGTTGATTACCCCAAGGTCAAATACCCCAGCAAAAATATAAGTATGAGAAAAAGTAATCATTGGGAAGACTTTCCACTTCCATTATCAAATCATTCCATGTCATGTTCTGTTTTCCTGATCTCTGCTTCTACAAGATCAATTGAATAATTGTTTTTCTTTTTTGTTTGGATGTTGTGTGATCTTTGCCATTAATTGCCTGTGTGACCTTGGGCAAGTCAATTGCACTCTCTGCTTCCATTTCCCCATCTGTATTGGATAGGTGTAATACTTCACAGGGGTGAAGAAGTTTTATTAATATTTGTAAATCACTTTGGGATCTTGAAGTGAAAGTTATAGCAAGTCTGTGTTCTGCTTGTTTTCAGAAGGAGTTAATCAAATGATACTATGTCTGTAGAGAAACTAAAGACTCTAAATTCAAGATGGGTTTTCAAAGCAGTTGATATTGCATCTGTCAACAGCAAAAGAGATGTTGAGCAATGAAATAATAAGAAATGGCATTAACAGACATGGATTATATGCTGTTGATAGTATAATAAAAATACCGAACAAGTTAACGTAGGGTCTATAATCAAATAAGAATGTCATAAAGATCCATGATCCACAGAAAACTAGATTCATTGATTGACAGAGGGGGGAGTTCCTTGTAGGGATGACTTAATTAATTTTGTTTTGGTATCTCCAGCCTGTGAATGTAAGTTTGACTGAATAGGAGAAATAACTGAAGAGTTGAATTAATTGACTGATGCACATTTAAAACTTTTTTTATAACCTAGTAAGCAGAGCACCATTAATCTCGTTTGAACAAGCATCCTTCACAGAGGATTACTAATTTTGATGTCTCCCGTTTCTCCAGGTTCCTTTATTAACATATCGCAGATGATTGCCTGTGTAGGACAGCAGGCTATCAGTGGGTCACGTGTGCCTGATGGATTTGAAAATAGGTCTCTGCCTCACTTCGAGAAGCACTGTAAGGTCAGTAGCCTTGCACTAAACAGGATTCAATGAAATCCATCCATGAACTGGGAATAAGTTTAGATGAGTCGCTACTCAGTCCTTCACTAATGGAAGGACCACCTCTAAAGGTAACATAATGAAGTTCAAGTACAATATTTTGAATGGGGAAGTAGGGACAAAGAGCTGATGCTCTTTGCCTTCATTTGTTTTCAGGAATCTTCATTAGCCTGAACCTTAACAGCTAAACTTTTAACTTCTGGTTGCCCTTTTCTGCCAAATAGTCCTTTGCTTGAAATATTTAAACAATACTTTAATATGTTAAATTAATATTTGTTGAAATAACTTTAAGATAACACTGAGGATATATTCATGGTTCTTATATTGCTTACAAACAATAAGATTCTCTTAATCTTTGCCTTTTTTCCTTTCTTTTGAATGCTGATTCATTGCACTAAGGTGTCTCATGGGTGTTGTGCTGATGGTTTTGTTTTTATGATGGATTTCAAGAATTTTAGTGCATGTGAAATATATCCGCTGGGTCACTCTGGAGTCTGAAATTCTTTATAGAACAGATACAGCATGACAAATAGTATTGCTAACTTTATATCAATGTTTCTCAATCCTGTTGTGCAGGGACCAGTTTCCAGGGTCAAGAGACTAGAAATGTCTCCAGGTTAATACAGTCCTATCTGAGACTGCCAGTTAAAATAATGGTATCAATTCATTTCCTAGTAAAGAAGTGTCAATATAGCAACCCTCAAACACCCCCCTAAGCTCACCAGTTCATGTCATTCAGGTTACTGAATACCTGTCAAGTGGTAACTCTCAATCACTACCTGCCAGGACTCAGTTGCAATTTCTGAACTAATAGAGAAAGTTGCTTACTGCTGTCCAGTAACCTGAACCTGCAGTTCCCTTTTTATTAAGAAAATGCTCCAGGTAATTTTTGTTTATGGGAGAAATACACGTGATATAAATTCTATGAACTTTACAAAGAGAAAATGTCGTAACTTTAATTTCCCAACCTTGTCCAACTTGTCTGTTACTAGTTAAATGATGGTACAAAGTAGCCTGCTTTAAGGGTCAGTGCCTCTTACCCTCTCCATCCACTGTTCTGCTTCACAGAATATGGGAATTACTTTTGGGTCGGATGCTAGTGATGGGATTAGGAATAGTATAGAGAAGGTTCCAGTCAATCCTCTAGTTACTCAGTTTGTTTAATAAACTTGTAAATTGGCTTTGAGCAGTTTGTGTAAAGTCTATTGACCAGACCCTCATCAATGGCCAAAACAAGCTATTCAAAAGAATTTAGAAGCTCCAACTTTATGAACCATGTGACATACTCTATGTTCCATAGGCTCAGGTTAGGAAGATTCCGGTAGAAGTAATGTCTGTCATTCTTCCTCCTCCCCACTCAAAAATGAGTATTCACGTTGTCCTCCAACCAGATTGCAACTCAGGAGCGTGTGCATAGAGTCCTATTAGACTAAATATCAGGGGGTAGCCGTGTTAGTCTGTATCTACAAAAAAACAAGGAGTCTGGTGGCACCTTAAAGACTAACAGATTTATTTGGGCATAAGCTTTCGTGGGTAAAAACCTCACTTCTTCGGATGCATAGAGTGAAAGTTACAGACTCCTTGTTGTTTTTATTAGACTAAATGTTTTTCTATTGCAGACTTATAGAATGTGTAGTAAGTCTTTAGAACTTTTTTTTTCTCTCCCCTCTAGCTTCCAGCTGCAAAAGGTTTTGTTGCCAATAGCTTCTATTCTGGCTTGACTCCGACTGAGTTCTTCTTCCATACGATGGCTGGTCGGGAAGGTCTAGTTGATACAGCTGTAAAAACAGCCGAAACTGGATATATGCAGGTAATGCTCGACGGGTATAAATATGTATAACAATTTTGCTGTTGCAAGAGGGTTATGGTTGTCAGTCATATCGTTAATGTGAGATGCTGTTAGACCTCATCGATCTAGCGCTGGATGTTGGAAAGTATAATAATTCATCTTCTAAAGTGGGCTTTCATTAAGTGACACAGGAGTGTAACTGTTCATGTATCTTCTGAGTACAATGACCAATCCTTGATCATAAGTGTCCTGATTTGCTGAGCACCTCCTGCAAAGTGCCTTCAATTTCTCTTGAAGTTAATGAAGGTCTGATGTCGTGGAGCATCTGAATGGATCAGGCGCCTGTGATGATGCTTTGGTCACTTAGCCTTCATTCCAGTAAAAAACAGAGATGATACCGGTGAAACTTTAAACTCTCTCTTGTTTTGAACAATCAAAACAAAAGGGAAGTTGTCTCCATTACCCAAATGTAAGCATGGACTGTCCTGAGGCAAACCTGCTTGCCCTACTTGTGTGAGCAATCTCAGGCTCTTCAGTGGGACTACTCAAGTAAGGCAAGCAGAATTTGGCCCCTTCTTCAAGAATGAAAACTTATTTTAAGGTGACGTGATCTTGTTCAAAAGTAGCTCAAGGCTGGCCTAATTTTTTGCTTCTATGTAGGTAAATAGGAATTCTCCCATTGATTTTAATCAGAGGGAAGGCCCAATGTGAGTGCTCTTGAAATTCACATACTTAAATACTTAAGATCATATCAATGCTCTTCTGTAGAGGCATTATTCAATATATTTCCGTACAATCTCTGACCCTATTCAGAGGGTTTAACATTCTGGGGTGCAATCCAGGCCAGTGAGGGCTGTGTCACCACTGGCCCTCTAACCTTGGGGCCTCAATGCTTTGCTGCTGTAGCTCCCACTTAGGCCACTCACAAAAAGCATGCAGGTCACCCCTGAGTGCCTGTGTATAGCCACAGCCCAAGTCCAGAAACAGTGACCCCAGCAGCCTGGCAGCAAACCTGCCACACTCTGGCTTCCAGCAGCCTTGATTACTACTTGCGGTGTGACCCCCCGCACACTTCCAGTCCTGGATTTTCCCCAGAAAAGTGTGTCCTGCACTTGTCCAGCCCTCTCCTGGACAGTCAAGCTGTATTAGGTCCATTGCCCCTCCAGGGGCTTAATATACAACAGTTTGCTACCATAAATGGAGTTACCCACACAGTTCCGTTTCAAGACAACACTTGATTGTAAAACTACAAAGAGAGATTTTTAAGTCAGTACAAATATAAGGCATTAAAGTTAGAAATGGTTACAAGAGAAATAAAGATAAAACGCTTTCTAAACTTAACAAACTAGACTTGGTTCAAGGTGAAATTCTTACCACAAGTTTCCAGTAACATTGCTGCCGAAGTTTCAGGCCAGGATCTGCTCTCTAAGTCCATTGGCTGTTTCTTTTGTCGTCTTAGATGAGTGAGAGGGAAATGGATAGGGAGAGACAACGTGTGATGTTTTTATCCATTACTTTTATAGTTTAGTCACCCTTTGAAATGTATTTTCCTGAGGGTTACCCCTTGATCAGGGGTTCTCAAACAGTGGGTCGAGACCCCATTTTAATGGAGTCGCCAAGGCTGCAGTTAGACTTGCTGGGGCAGAAGCCCGACCCCCGCTGCCGGGGGCTGAAGCCAAAGCCCTGGGAAGGGTGGCTAAAGTTACATGCCCTCTGCCCAGGGTGGGAGCCCTTGGGTTTCAGCTTTGGCCTCCACCCTGGGCAGCAGGACTGGGGTGGGCTCAGGCTTGGGTCCCCCCTCTTGGGGTCATGTAGTAATTTTTGTTGGGGGGGGGGGGGCACAGTGCAATGAAGTTTGAGAACCGTTGCCCTAGATAAAATTCCTTCCAGCTATGAGGATGGTGCCATGGGGTCTCGTGAAAGAGTTTTCATGCTGCTGTTTACTTAAAATGCAGATTTGCCTTGTCTCCCTCTTGCTTTTTCAAGGACCTTGTAACTATTTCTATGTAAATTGAAGTAAACACACATTCCTTTAAGACCTGTTTGTCCAGTCCTGCCTAATCGCAGCTATGTGGGTTGAACATGTGCCACAAACACCTTGAAGCCTAACTCATAAATTAGAAAACTATATTTTTTAAAAAGGTCAGCTTCAGAGGCCAATGTTCAGTGATGATATTTTTAACTGTCTCTGCTCTTTCCTTCTCCCTACAAGACCATATACGTGGTAATGTGTCTCCTATGTTCTTGCATTTTTTTAAAAAAATACCAGGAAGCAAAGCTGGTTAGAGAAACCACATGATTGAAAAGGCATTTCCTTGAAAACATGTTTGTATTTTTAAATTCCAGATAAATTGGGCAGTATCAGGTTCTTATGGTGGTAAATTTTGAGAGTGTGTGTGCACCAAAATTAAATGATAGGAGGAGCAGGAAGGAAAGTTTGCAGACCTTCATGATGCTTTGAATTTTTTATTGCTACTGAGTGTTCTTGGTTGTGTTGTTTTTGCTCTCGGGAATATAAAATGAATTAAAAAGTTTTATTTTCTCAGTCCACATTCCATAGGTTTTTGTAACTCCAATGCATGGGTATTCATAAAAAACAGCTGTCTTTATCTCCCCTCCTTTTTTTTCAGAGACGGCTGGTGAAATCTCTTGAAGATCTTTGCTCTCAATATGATCTCACTGTCAGAAGTTCTACTGGTGACATTATACAGTTCATTTATGGGGGAGATGGCTTAGATCCTGCCGCTATGGAAGGGAAAGACGAACCTTTGGAATTCAAGCGAGTCCTGGACAACATCAGAGTAAGATTTTTCTGAAATCATTTGTTTGAAATGCATTTAGGCTCTCTAGTTGTCAGAGGCATGAAATGCTATTTGGGACATAAAGAAGAAAAGTGTCATGATACAACATGGAGCATCATTCTAATGTAAGGATTTCTTTTAAACTCAGTTTCTTGCAGATCTATGTTAAGTAAAGAATTCTATAGCTTTCTTTGAAATTGAGTGACTAGATTATCACTTGGGGTTTTTTAAGATGTTAGTGCAGGGGTCGGCAACCTTTCAGAAGTGGTGTGCCGAGTCTTCATTTATTCACTCTAATTTAAGGTTTCGCGTGCCAGTAATACATTTTAACCTTTTTAGAAGGTCTCTTTCTATAATATATAACTAAACTATTGTTGTATGTAAAGTAAATAAGGTTTTTAAAATGTTTAAGAAGCTTCATTTAAAATTCAATTAAAATGCACAGCCCCCCAGACCGGTGGCCAGGACCCGGGCAGTGTGAGTGCCACTGAAAATCAGCTCACGTGCCACAGGTGGCCTACTCCTGTGTTAGTGCCTGACCCAAAGCCCATTGAAGTCAGTGGTTGGACTACTGTTGACTTAATTGGGTGATTGACTGGCTCCTTATTGCATACAGTAATGCTTTGAAAATTATTCTTCCTTGTTGGGTTGTTGGATTTCTCAGCTCACAGGAAGAGAGCCTTGTTTGCTGTCTCTAAGCCTAGCATGGTATTGTGAAACACTTGAATGCTAAACATGCTGAACATCTCTTTTCAGAATGTTCATATTTTATCTTGCCTAAGACTAAATGTTTTCTGTGGAAGTGGCAATTTGGACTTAAGTGACTGGCTGTGATAATTTGATTTGTGTAATCAGAAACATATGGATTGATTTTCCAAGTACATATATTTGGGACACTATTCAGTGAAGTGTTAAGGGACTCTATTGTCCATGCGGAACACAGAACTAATCTCTAAAATGTTTAATGTAATGGCCCTGTGGTCTCTATATATGTAGAAGTATAACTCTCTTTATTTTGTTGCTTAAGGCGGTATATCCATGTCAAAATGAACCAGCTCTTAGTAAAAATGAATTGGTGTTAACTGCTGAGTCCATCATGAAGAAAGTTGAATTCCTTTGCTGCCAAGACAGTTTCCTACAGGTAACTTTTTAATCTTAATAATCATGAAATAAAAAGAAATATCACTTCCCTCATAAATCAAGGATATTAAACAATTGAGAGAGCTTTTATTTAAAGACCGATGCAGAGCTTTTCAAAAGAAAAGTTTTATTCACTACTAGCAGCAACACCTACTGTACTAATCTGTCTTTAAGATATTTCTGATTACTGCATTCACGATGGGGTAAGAGTAGCACTTCAGTATGGATAATTAATTTCTTCCTTTGTCGTCTTGGGTAAATCTGTGTTTGCTACAATAACTTTATAAAGGAAGGAAAGTCTAGTTGTTTGAGCAGGGGCCAACCATTGACCTGCTGAAACACCTTAATCAAAACTCTTGATTGCTCTATACCTCATTTTTACCATCTGCAAAATAGTTCTAGTAATTAGCTATCTCAGAGGAGCATTAAGGAATAGTGTGATATTTGACATATAACTGTGAAAGTACTAATATCAAGAGCTCTTCCCTTTTATCCATCTTTTGTGTAACTATCTTTTGTCATTTTCCCTGTTCCCTTTAGTAAACACTCATTTTCTTACGGTTCTCAATCCAACAAAGCACTTCAAGTACATGCTTTGCTGTATTGGGGCCTGTTTCCTGAGGCTTATCCACACTCCTAAAAAAATGGTGTGACTGCTTGCAATAGGATTTCACAAAATGCAGTGTTCAAGTTTTACAAAAGTACTAGGTAAATATTTAGAGAGATGAGTAGATATCCTAATTTGAGTTTTATCCTTCGGTGACAAATGCTAATGTCTGCACTGCCCCGCAGTTTGGACTATTTGGGTGTATATAGCAGTGCACACCGAAGTGCTGTGTTGTCACTCCCCCCATGTGGATTCTGCAGGTGTGATCTAAAAGGTTCTTAGTTCACATTAACGTAATCCTGAAGAGGGACCTTTTAGTTTGCGCCTGCGACATTCACAAAGGGGAGTGACAGCCCAGCACTTCGATGCGTGCTGCTGTTCACACCCCCATAGACAGAACTGCGGGGCAATATAGATGAGCCCTAATGAAGAATTAACCTGGACTGATGCAGCTTGAAATGGCCTCTGGGATATCGGTGATGAGACTATGAATTTCAGTGACTGGCTCTAGTGGCTCTTTGCTATTTATGATGGATCACTGTGATCCAGAGCAGAAGGTGACAAGATTTGTAGACAGCTCTTTATATACATGACTTGCTATCCAAATGCCAGTGCTGAGTAAGTAGACTACTGTGGATACAAATAGAAGTGTATACAAATCTCAACTTCATGGGCTGGTAAACAATTTCTTCACAGCTCCCAGAAATAAATTCTGATCTGATAGCAGCATTATAAGGTTCAAAGTTAATTCTCTTTATTTTAGAACTGTGCTAAATTTTAATGCTCCTTTCAGAAGTCAAACTAAGATGCACAGATATAGCTACATCAATTAGCATTAACTTTTTTGAAAGATTTATTTCTGACCAGGAAATTGCAGACATTACTTTTTCTTCTCTCCTTTTACCTTTTTCTTTCCCCCCCCCCTCCCCCCATTTATTCTTGAAGGCATTAACTGAGACAGGTTATGAAAAGTATAATGAGGTAATTGTAGCATGCGTGTGCACTGTATGAGCATTAATGTTAGTGCTATTTAACTTAAGATATTTGTGCAAGATCTTACAGTAACACATGGGACTATATACGTTACTGTCTGGCAAATTATAATTAAGCTTTCTCCTGCATTAATCCACTACATCTTTTTTAATTTTTGGATGAAAACAAAGCTCAGATGTGATGAAAAGGTCCCTGCTAGCAAAATTCCAAGAATTAGTCACTTAAGGTTTTACTTCGGCACACCACTTTTTTCTCTCCACTCTGTCATCTTAATCACTAAGGTTATTAACGCAGTCTAATAGCTTGAAACTCCATCTTGTTTCAGAAGTACTAGTATATGGCAATTGGAGGTAACTTAGCATCATTTCCCATTGACACTGGAAAGGACTTTGGAACTTTGGTGGTGGTTTTCCCTGCTTCTCATGCATGTGGAAGACCCTTGAAAATAGTAAATCTCTCTCCAGTGCTTCACTTTGCATTCTGTACCATCATTACTTTATGATGGCTAAAACTAGCATTTAATTGAGAATCATAGAAATGTAGGGCTGGAAGGGACCTTAAGAGGTTATCAAGTCCAGCTTCCTGCACTGAGGCCGGACCAAGTAAACCTAGACCATTCCTGACAGATTTGTCCAACATGTTAAAAACATCCAATGATGGGGATTTTACAATCTCCCTTAGAAGCCTATTCCAGTGCATGATTACCCTTATAGTTAGGTTAGATATTAGGAAAATCTTTCTAATTGTTCCTGCTGCTGATTATGCCCATTACTACACCTCTACCCCGATATAACGCTGTCCTCGGGAGCCAAAAAATCTTACCATGTTATAGGTGAAACCACATTATATCGAACTTGCTTTGATCTGCCGGAGTGCACAGCCTCCCCTCCCGCCCCCCCGGAGCACTGCTTTACTGTGTTATATCCAAATTCGTGTTATATCGGGTCGCGTTATATCGGGGTAGAGGTGTACTTCTCCTACCTTCAGTGGACAGTTCATCACCGTCCTCTTTATAATGGTCCTTAACGTTTTTGAAGACTGTTATCAGGTTCTCTCTTTCTCCCCCCCCCCCCCCCCCCCCATCTTCTTTTCTCAAAACTACATATGCCTAGTTCTTTTCACCTTTCCTCATAGGTCAGGTTTTCTAAGCCTTTTATCATTTTTGTTGCTCTCCTTTGGACTCTCTCCAGTTTGTCCATGTCTGTCCTAAAGTGTGGCACCTAAAACTGGACATAGTATCCAACTGAGGCTTCCCCAGTGGTGAATAGAGTAGAACAGTTACCTCCTATGTCTGACATACGATGCTTCTGTTAATACACACCCCAGAGTGATATTGTTGTGACATTTTTCACAACTGCATCACATTGTTGGTTCATATTCAATTTGTGATCCACTGTAGCAGCCAGATCCTTTACAGTAGTATTGTCTCCAAATCAGTTATTCCCCATTTGATTTTTTTTCCCCCTTCCTAAATGAAGTACTTTGCACTTTTCATATTGAATTTCATCTTGTTGAGTTCAGACCAATTCTCCAGTTTGATCACCTAGGATTTGCAGCTCAGAAGCCTGTATACGGAAGCATTCCAATTGCTTGTTTTGAAAGCTGTTTAGGTATTCAGGAACAGTTAAAGCAAACAGATTGTCTGTTAGTAAATGAGTTTGCTTGTCTGGGTCCTATCCTATCTCTGTCAAAGATTCTCACTGTTGCTAACTCTTGCTATTTCATTGCAAGTCTTAGAATGTTTGATTTATTTCCAAAAAGCCCAGCTCTGGGAGGCATGTGATTAGGTAAAAATCTAGGCTCTCATTTTCTTAAAAAGTAAATTTCTAGCCCTCCTGGTTAGAATAGCAATTGAAATGTGGCTCAAAAAGTTCACAAAGTTGTATGGCTTTTAACCATCTCATGATTTTTGGTATCTTAGAGTTGGAAGTACTGCTTCCTGTGTAACCTTACCAAATCATTTAACCTCCCTTTCCATTTGCTCATCTGTAGTAGGGAGATGATGCTTACTTACCATGTGGTTATTTAATACTTAGCTGTTAAGGAGTAATAAAAGCTTGAGGTTTGAGATGGTCTGATGGAAGGATCTGTAAAAGTGAAAAGTATACTTTTCAGTGAACATGATTAATGGGAGAAAAGTATATCGCAAGGTGAAAATAGGCAGAAATAACTTATTACATTTGTAATCTTCTAAATGGGGATAAAGTGAAGCACCAATTCCTGTGGCATACTTTTATTATCTAACTCTTCCATTTTGACCTTGTCTGCAAATTCTGATTTACAGTAGTGGACTGTTAAACTAAAAATGCCTTGAATGTTGAGCAAAACATCCACATCTTGGAGTTAACCTGCAGAGTCTGCTGTGACAGATTATACTCTGTTGACAGTGTTTTATTAATGGTGGGTGCTGTGGTTAGGAAATGGCTAGAAAGGTTATTCCTGATATTTATTTAGTGGATGGAGTAACTTTAAATGCCCAATTACTGAGGATATTGGATGGCTCTGCAGATTGTTGGTCACCTCAGAGTTGGTGGGATTAGTGCAGTACCTAGTGCAGGGGTCAGCAGCCTTTCAGAAGTGGTGTGCCGAGTCTTCATTTATTCACTCTAATTTAAGGTTTCGCATGCCAGTAATACATTTTAACCTTTTTAGAAGGTCTCTTTCTAAAGTCTATAGTGTATATAACTAAACTATTGAATGTAAAGTAAATAAGGTTTTTAAAATGTTTAAGCAGCTTCATTTAAAATGCAGAGCCCCCCCCCGGACCGGTGGCCAGCACCCGAGCAGTATGAGTGCCACTGAAAATCAGCTCGCTTGCTGCCTTTGGCACACGTGCTATAGGTTGCCTACCCCTGACCTAATGGATAAGTGTCCACATCACACAGTTAGTGACCAGAACAATTGGCTGCCTCAGCAGAGAGGCCACGGATTTGAATGGACTCTGAAAACTGAATTGTCCTCTGCTGTAGAAATAGTTCTTCCAAGTCACTGTTGAAGTACATTGACATGGTAGCAGAGTTTGGAAAAGGTTGCTTTGTTACTGCTTATACTGATCCTGTTTGTATGCAAATAGAGAACTTAACTCTGCAGGAATCATTAACTTTTAAAATATTGCTGGGCGAGCCTGTCACTAATATTGGCATTGCATAACTAAAACGCAACAGTTGGGGAGCAGGAGAAAAAGGGGTAAGTGGGAAGCACAGAGATCCTCCAAAGTGGAAAATCTTTGTCAGTTTCTAGGAGAATGCTGAGGAGGGATACTTTATATGTATTGATATAAATTCCTGAGGTACCGTGGTTGATTTTTTCCGTTACGTCAAGGGTGAATTTGGTTTGTGGTACCCACATACTGTGTGTCTAGGTTTTGCTGTCTTCCTTCTCGTAGTGTGCATTTCTGATTTAGCAGTGTAAAAAAGTTCTTTCAGATATGTAACCAAATAGCATTTACCATAGTAGGGCTGGAGTACGAGACTCATCTATTGCATAATTCTTACTTTTTTTTTTTAATTTCAGGAGATTAAAAAATTCATCAAAAGCGTTTCTGAAAAGATCAAGAAAACCAGGGACAAGTATGGTATTAATGACAATGGCACAACAGAGGTAACTGCTTTTAGAGGGGTAACAACAAATGCACGTACAGTAAAGCTCCATAACCCATTCGATTTCTAACATTTCTGTCTCATTGTCTCTTCAGCCACGTGTCTTGTACCAATTGGATCGAATTACCCCAACGCAGCTAGAGAAGTTTCTAGAGACCTGTAGGGACAAATACATGAGGTACAAGTTTCAGTACTTGTTTTCTTCTAATTGGCTTATATCAATTCAATGTTCACCACTACTTATACAAGTTAGGGGTAGGGCTTGTAACTGATTGACTTAAATCTGAGAATGTAATTGTTGCTACAATAGTGCCTTCTGTCGCTTCTGTTGGTGTAATTTATGTCGCTCAGAGGTGTTGGTTTTTTCCAGACCCCTGAACAACATAAGTTATACTGACAAGAGGTAGTATAGACATGGCCTTAGTGTTAGGATAGTGTTAAAGTTATGTCAATTTGAAGGCCATTAAAACCTTGACTGTTAATCTTGATCTATAAACAGACTGTAGACAATCATTATCTTTAGTTTTGCACAACATTGGTCCTGAATCTGACACTTATTTCTGGGAGACAGCTTCTGTACTGTAAGAAAACACTGATAGTCTGGAGGCTCTTCTCTCTGTTATTCATCGTGAGTTAATTCATATGTACAGAGAAGGTTCATAATGACTTGGGATTCGTTCATTGGGATATAAATGAGGGTGACAGCTATCCTCTGGTCTCCTACATCCACTCACTGCATTGGTTATTTGCTAAACTTATTTCTGCTGTGGCTTAATGCTTCTAGAACAGTGGTTTTCAACCTTTTTTCATTTCCTGACCTCTAAAAAATTTCAAATGGAGGTGCAGACCTCTTTGGAAATCTTAGATATAGTCTGCGGACCCCCAGGTTGAAAACCACTCTTCTAGAAGCACTAGATTTATGTAGAAGATAATTTACAGCAGACTTGTTAATTAACTGACTTGATGGTTTTCTTTGCTGTGATTACTTAGCTTACGCTCACGTGGGTAATGTTCTTCGGTGCAAAGCATATGTTACCTGTTCTACAGCTCTCTTTTTGGTGTTAACCTGTTTGTATAGCCTTGGATGGTGTTCAAGGTACACTAGTAAATTCTGGTTTTAATTAAGGTTTTGATGTAGTAATCTTCTTGTGATTTGTCACAATGGTATAATTTTGGAAGGGACTTAGTTGCTATGACACATTTCTTTGCTTAGTTACATTGTAGTTTAAGCAGGAGAGAACTCCTACCAGGACTGAGGGTACTCTCTCCGTCAGAGAGAGACGTAGCTATACCGATGTAAGTTTTGAGTGTAGACCAGCCCTAATTTAAATAATTATTGTTTGCCGCCATACAGCCTCGTTGTTGATTGCATCAAATCTCACAGGCTAATCACTGTAAGGCATGGTTTGTATTGGGAAGGATATTCTCCAAGGAAAACCCAGGGTGACACTGAAGGTTGCACTGCTGATTTAGCAGGTGGCATTCTCTCTTGACTTTGGTGTTGGGGGAAAATGTGCTCCTGGAGTGCTGATCCCATTTCATTCTTTGCAAAAATAGAAGTGTTAATTCCAATGTCCTGACAAAACTGCAGTTTAAAATGTAACTTCTCATCAAAACCTCTCTTCTCCTTTGTAGCTTCATGTTGCATATGGTGGCATACTTCACTTCCTGTGCTGTTGCTGTTATCTGTTTGAATAGCTGATGCATTGATGTTATAATAAAGCAATAACATGATCTGATTTTATTCTCAGAGGCTTTCCCTCTCAGAGATTAGATTTCTCTAAGGTGACCCATGATACAGAACTTTTTTCTCTTGAAAAGCCAAAAAAAGCCGCTATAATGTATTGAAATCCAATCTTCTAGCTTTGTCAACCCATCAAGAACAATTCCATAATGGAGAATTTGTATTTGGAATATGGGAATTGCCAGTGTGTTGGTCCATCTGATGATGATTCTGGATCTAGCAATGGCCACTACCTAATACTTCAGAAGAAGATGAACTTCTTTTAGTTGACCTGACCAGTTTTGGAATGTTTTATAACTGGGGCAGCGGAATTTCTCTATGCCCCTGGCAGTCGTTCACATTGCATGAAATTGGTGTTTGTCTCTTTTCCTGCCAGCTCTGGCGAAGAAAATACAGTTTAAAAACTCTTATTAGCGCTCCTGGAATAATGCTTAACTTTGCTTAGCCTAGATTTAGTGTCTTAATGAGCAATTTGTTTTATCCTGTGTTTTTGATTGGAGGTTTGTTTGGGTTTTTTAACCCCTGACTTTCTTCTCAGGGCACAGATGGAGCCTGGCTCTGCAGTAGGAGCTCTGTGTGCTCAGAGTATTGGTGAGCCTGGCACACAGATGACTCTGAAAACTTTCCACTTTGCTGGTGTTGCCTCGATGAACATCACTCTGGGTGTTCCTAGAATCAAAGAAATTATTAATGCCTCCAAAGCAATCAGGTACTGAAACCTTTTTTTATTCCTCTGCTTTACTGAAAAGTGATTAACCTGCAGCCCAAAGTAGGATCTGTCTTGCAGGAATATGCGAGGCTTACCCTGTCAAATATCTAAACAAGATGAACTAGGTTACTCATCAAATTTGTATCTTAATTGGCAGAACATCTCATATTTCAGTCCATCCAAATAATTACTTTTCTAGTGGCCCAAACACAAAGTTAGGTGTTCATTTCCTTTGAAACATTCACTTAAAGACTACAGACTGTCAAGAGGTTAGTCTACATCAGATGGGTCTAGCTCGATCAGTAGTTAAAATACTTGTATATTTCTGATGTGCACCTGGAGCCATATTTAAGCACTGCTACAGTAGACTAAGCCATAAAAACTTACTCTAACCTCTTAGAGTATGCATACATTGGAGTTTGAATTCCAATAACTGTCTTATTCCTTCAAGCTTGAGATATTTAAAGAATAATTTTCTTAAACGTGTCAATTTTGGGTACTATTATTTCCTAGCAAGCAGCAGTCTCTTTTACAGCCTGTCCTATTTGTCCCTATAGTGGATGGTAGTCGAGACAGACCACAGAAGCTAGGATACAACAGAAAGCTGCTGTTCTATAATCTAGCTAGTAAATTTTATTGCTGTGTCTTATTCTGTGTAGCACACCTATTATCACAGCACACTTGGACAAGGATGATGATTCTGATTTTGCCCGTCTGGTTAAGGGAAGAATTGAGAAAACCCTATTAGGAGAGGTAGGAAAATCTTCATTGTTGGTACTACATTAAATTTAAAAACTCTAGTCTGTATTGTTGCAGACTCTTTGTAGTGGACAGTAACCATTCTTGGAGAGATTCTAACTATTCCATCTGGATCTGTAACTTACAGATTTCAGAGTACATCGAAGAAGTGTTTCTTCCTGATGATTGCTTTATACTGGTCAAGCTCTCTCTGGAGCGGATTAGACTGCTGAGACTAGAGGTGAGTTTTCCAGATCTTGTTGACTGTACTACTTGGAAAACCAGAACAAGCAGTGGTCCCTTCCTCCACACCAGTTGATGCCCTTTTCAGAGATGTCAATGAAACAAGCTAGTTAAAGAGCAAATGGAAAGTGCCATCCACAAGATGTCCATATAAGGTTTACAACTCTGTTTAGTACTCAAAGTTGGCATTTCAGAGCATTGCCTAGAGCTGGGAATAGCACAGGCAGGCAGTGTTCAGGTTTCCTGACTTATTTAACGTCAGGATTTATTCAAAGAACAACTAAGTTGCACAGAATTATGGTCATCTTGTAAGTAGACCATTGCTAAAATTATTTTTCTCTTGAGCCTTTCGCTAGAAACAGATCTTCTGAGGTGAATGGCTGTTGTGCTATGTGGCAAATTGAGTTCTGTGAGACAAGGTGGGTGAGGTAGTTGTCATGCTGTCTGGAGTAGCTCACGTTTGTGAGCGTCGAAAACAGGGCAGACAACATGATCTGGTGGTATGCTCTATAATTAGATTTTACAAGCTGGACTTAGTTTGTTACATGACTGGCTACAGGCGCTGTCTTTTGTGTAAGATCTGGGGTAAGTGACTGGTCTCTTGCGATTGGAAGCAACCTGAACAGTGTGAGATTTTTGGTGTACATGACCATTTACCACTATCTAAAGGTTTGTTAACTAGGAAAAATAAATAGAAGTTGTTTACAAGTTAAAGCAAGCAAACATACACAACTGAGTTCCTAAACATGATTCGTAAAGATGACAGAGATGTGGTAATCTGTCAATTCAAAATGTCTTTCAGGCTGGACCCAGGGGTTACCCCTGGGGATCTCTGCCTCTGTTTAATGTCTCTGCCCCTGTGAGTTAAAACAGCAAAGAGATGACAAATTTTCATGTGACCCTGTTTTATCTCTTACATTTGGTCTTCCAGTTCATGAGACAAACCCCCTTGTACCTAGCATTTCCAAGGTCTTGATAGGGCCATTCACCAATCCTTTGTACTATGATGATTCTTAATGGCCCGTTTAATCTTGATAGGCCTCCTTACTGGGTGTGGGAGATGATTCCCATGCCTGGGTTCACAAGTTCAGAGCAAACATTTTCAAAGTTATAAAGCAATACTTACATAATTCCTTATAGCATGGGGTACAGGCATTACAAGTGAGATTAATATATGCAGCAACTTGCAAGCATTTCATCAAATCTAAACACTAAATATATTCTGGTAAGACTAATACCTATTTTGAACAAAACTAACATACAGGTGAGCTGGTTTGGTTTCCAACTATGAGTTTGTCAGTTCTTAGCTAATGCCAGCTCTGGCACTTGGTTTACTGGCATTACAGTAATATCTCTTTATTATTCACCCACCTTGTGTGTCTAATATCCTGGGACTGACACAACTGCAATAACACAGCAAACAGTTCAGTTCTGTGTCATATTCAATAAAAGTTCACCCTTATACAACACTCCAGTGAGACTGAAGTGGCATCTGGGCCTGTGTGGACCATCTGCAGAGGGGCACATTTCACTCTGAGAGCTATTTTGTGATAATCTGCAAGCATTCCATTTGTTAGCCCCATCCAGCTGTGATAGTATCCTGGTTAATTAGTGGAGCAGAAATCTGATTTCTGCATGGCTGAAAGATTTAAAATGGTTAAAGGACATATTTTAATATTCAAGGAATCATTTTGCCACAGGTGAATGCAGAGACTGTGCGATATTCTATCTGCACATCTAAGCTAAGAGTGAAGCCTGGGGATGTTGCCGTTCATGGAGAGGCAGTTGTCTGTGTGACCCCTCGTGAGAATAGCAAGAGTTCAATGTATTATGTCTTGCAATCCCTGAAAGAAGAGCTACCAAAGGTAAGTAGAATCTCTTCCTTTTGCAATTGGTAACTGCTTCAATTTGTATGTGGGAAATACTTGTGTTTCTAGATTGTATTGAGTGTCAATATAGTCTAGTTGTCTGAGTCCAGAACTCCTCGGTTCTAATGCCAGCAATGCTGCTGGCTCTTGTTTCAGCCTTAACATTTCCTGTGTCTCTCTCCCTACATAAAATGGAGATTGTAATATTTTTCTTACAACATTCTTACGAAGTATGTTTGATCATAAGACATTTTGAAGATGGAAAGTGCTATTTGAGTACCAAATTTTCTACCACTTAAAAATACGGCAGGTTTTGAAAGGAGCCCATAATAAAATCTGTCAAATGCATTGCTAAGTTTGTGTGAGGATCATGTCTAGTTTAGGTTTAAACATAGTTGCAAACAAAAACCTGTAACTGACAGGGTGCATGCTGAGTGTCATACAGAGGAAGAGGCAGAGATCTGTCGTACATCTGATTTTCTGGACCCCCTAGATGTGGGGACAGAGAAGCCTAGTTCTAAAACAGTAATGTAGTGAATGCCCTTCTTACGTGTCTCTCTGGAGCATTCAACACATAATAGAAATCAGACACTAATACTTATTTTAATGTTCAGGCCACTGTATAAAAGTGGAGTTTTTAAGATAGCTGTGAGAACTGATTTAAAGCCTTAAATGTAAGTGTTCTCACGTTGTCTATTTAAAGCTGCATGGACAGGACAAGTTGAGTTTATACAACTTCTTATTTTGAAAAGATTGTAGTGCAAGGTATCCCAGAGGTGTCTCGGGCGGTCATTCACATTGATGAGCAGAGTGGCAAGGAGAAATACAAACTTCTGGTGGAAGGTGATAACCTACGAGCTGTCATGGCCACCCATGGAGTCAAAGGAACTAAGACCACTTCTAACAACACTTATGAGGTAATGCTCAAGTGTGTCTTGCACTACTTCTGGCTGCATCTTGATTCCTACTTATGCTCATTTACAGACAGTTAATGCAATTTACAACTGATCACTTCTACTTTCACAAGTAACCTGTCAGTGTGTGTATTATCATAAAAGGCTAATTCAGCTGCCAACTTCAATTACTTTTAATGAGCAAATGTTTTTATTAATTCAGGTCGTGGTTTAAAAAAAAAAAAAGGGTGGTGGGGTTGGTAGAATGTGCATCCCAGGAAAATCACTTCAGATTTTTCTAGTTAGATCACTAAGAAAATCTTAGTCCCATGTGCAAGCAAAGAAATGTTTCAGCGCTCCAAGCACTTCACTTCTTCATTTATCCAACATGATCTCTCTCCTAGGTAGAGAAAACACTAGGGATTGAAGCTGCTCGAACAACCATTATCAATGAGATTCAGTACACTATGGTAAACCATGGTATGAGCATTGACAGGAGGCATGTTATGCTGCTATCAGATCTGATGACATACAAGGTTTGTGCTGCGTTCTTTTTGGTCTCTTTATCCGAACTATCTTTATAGAGGCAATAGAAGAGCTTTCAGCTGAGGAGTATTAATAGACTATATACTGAAGTAACTGCTAATCACACTAATTAATCCCTGTGACTGAGTTGATATCTCAAACTTAAATGGTGACTTAATCCATAATTTGAGAACAGCAGTCTGTTTGAAGAGCTTCATTTAGAGGTTATGGGTGTCTTTATTTCACCCTGGAGGTCAACTCATTGGCACGTTACAATAAAGAGCATAGGGTTGGTGTGGGCACCCAAGCATGTACACCGCTGTGTATATCTGTTCAAATATTTGAAAGCACAACAGCTGCACTTCATAGCAGAGGGCAGGGTAGAGTCCTTGCAAATGGAAGCAGATTACATAATGGAGTATGGACTAGGGTTACAGCACTGGCCATTTTGATGCAATGTCAGAACTCCTCAGGGAAGGAAAATAGCTGTCCACATCCATGATAATGTATGTTGACTATAACCTAGCTGTATTTGTGTTAATGTACATAATGGAGCAAATCCTTTCTCATGTGTCAAGCTAGAGTACAGGAGTTTAACGCAGGGGAACTTTGCCGTCCGGGAAAGCAGCTAAGGAATTGTAGCTTTTCCGTGTTTCCCGAAGCTGCAGGGCAGTTACTGTTGCACCTTTGGGACTGCAACAGCTTCTATACTGGTTGTGGCACCGTTCCAAAACTTTGTCTGCAGCAAGCCCACAGCCCCACTTTCCATTTCATTGGAGAAGGGGCACAGAGTACAGTGTTGGTAAGCTTGTCAGGTTTCCAGAATCCACTTCTTTCCCTTACCCTTCTGTCCCATGTGTCAGAACTGTACTAGCTCCATTATGAGCAAGGTGCTCTGTACCAACATGAGTTAGAAACAGGATTAGATCTAATATGTTTAAATTCAAGTGGATTTTCTAAGGTGACTAAAATGGAGGATTTGCATTATCCAGTCATTTTACACTTGGAGTCAGATTTATCGGCCAACAATAACTGACAGTCTCCACTAAGTTCTTTATAGCAGCCTCCACAAAGATGGGGTTTGTTTTGTTTTGAAGTGGTTGATTAATAGTTGAACATTTTTCTGTCATCCATATGCCTTTTTTGATTCGCACCTTTTCCAATTTCCTTGGCATCATAAAGTTTCAAGCGATTTATAGCTGATCCTATAGCCTATGAATAAAAGTTTTTTGGTTTTATTTAAACTTTCATTACTACCAAAGCCTTAACCTTCAAAAGACTTAAGCATGAAGCAGCAGAACAGAGGCTACGCTTCAGACTGTAGACTTTTGTTCAGTACTGTTAAAATAAACTATACATTTTGTCATATCCACTTATTTTGATTCTTCAATAAATTTAACCAAACCCTTGGAACCATGACTGTCTTTTTGTTTCTGCATTAATCTAGGGTGAAGTCCTGGGCATTACTAGGTTTGGGCTGGCAAAAATGAAGGAAAGTGTGTTAATGCTGGCTTCTTTTGAAAAGACTGCAGACCATCTGTTTGATGCTGCCTACTTTGGGCAGAAGGATTCTGTGTGTGGTAGGTATTGTAGGTTAGACTGTAGCATGCAGTATTCACTCATCTGCAAAATACTCTTAAAGCGCGCATGTTTGTGTGTTTGTGTATGTTGCCCACCTGCCAAAGCTTTCTGTGTGCCTCCCAAAACACTAAAATTAATCTAGGTCATATGCTAGAAACTTCAGAAGTGGGGCTGGATAAAACATCTTGACCCCAGAAGTCTGACAGACACTACCCTAGGGCCACATCCTGTTCCCATCCAAAGATGTTAAAGTCAGTTGGAGCCCTGCCTGTGCTGCTAGGGATTAAATTTGTCCCTTGGGATTTTTTTTTTCTCCTTAACTAAATGAAATAGCAGGAAATTAGTCCCTCTCCTTAATTACCTAGCAAGATCGGTGTTCTTGTGTTCACTCTACAAGTTTTGTTGAGCATTACAAAGACCTAAAGCGAATTAAGGAAAATAGTTCCCTGTTTTGTTTTTAGGCTCCCTTTTTGTTTGTACTTTAAAGTGCTGTACATATCTGTGGTACTTTGAATAATGAATAATTATGATGGGTTTCATCAACTGCAACAAGAAAACCCAGATGGCCAAGGGGCTTGAACTCTTAGGCACTCAAAGGCCATGAGGATAAACAAGGTATAAAATCCTAGCGAGAACTCTTGTTCAAACAGATAAAAGATTTTTAGTTCACCTTCAAAATATACATGCATATTTCGAGGCTTATAAGTTACTGAACTAATATCAGTTGCAGCTTTCTCTTATTCCACTGAACGGATGAAAGGCACAAATAACTAAAACTAAAATGTAAAAAAGCTGATGCAGTTTTCTAGTACCTTGATAGTTAAATATTTGAGTTTTGTCATTTGATTGTATATCCTTTCAATCCCTTAATTTTAAATTCTCATGCATACTCTGTACGTGATTAGAAATCTGTTTTTTTTCCCCATTCTCTTTCCCCATCCAATTTTAGTTCAGTTTAGACAGTTATCTACTCAATTAAGCTAAGGAGTTTGGGAGGCAGGCAGATTTCATTACAACTCTAGTTATCTTGACTACATGTTAGTTCAGAGCCTAGCATAGTGGAGCCGTTATCCCTCATTAGGGCTTCTGGGTGCTACTGAAATATAAAAATACTAATATAACAGAGACTTCGTTTGGGATGTGTTGAAAATATAGAGCTGAATCCACTGACTTCTTTGTGGATAGAAACGCTTGTGAATAGATGGAGATAGTTTTGAAAGCTTGGCATGGCTAGTCCATATTTTAAGAGCTGTCTCTTTTTCTAGCCATCTGTGCCTACCTTGTGATTGACTTTTATTAATATTTGTTTTCTTTGCTGTGATTGTGGTTAAAGTGAGGGTCCTATGGTGAACTTGCTCCATCCTGAACAGTATGGAAAAGAAAATGTTTGCTCAAAGTCCCCTCTGACTGAGTGTCCCTCTTCCTCAATCAAGATTTTACTAAGGACCTTTTCATGCTGCCCTCTTCCTGTAACAGTTTAGTTCAAATAAGGAAATGGGATGGACAAAATTTTCTTATTTCCAAATGTAAAGAGGTAGCATTGGCAGTTTTTCTTACAGGCAAGCCGTGTACAATCACATGTTCATACAAGTAGGAAATATAGGTACATCGTCATTTTGGTTTGAAGGGCACACGTTATTGCTGTTCATTATTACTTGAATTATTGTAGTGTGTTGGGTCCCCAGTCATAAGCCAGGATCCCATAGTGCTAGGCTGTAGAAACGCAGAACAAAAATACAGTCCCTGCTCCAAAGAGCCAACAATCCAAGGAGAGACAAAACACTGCTTTTTATTTTCATGTGTAGTAGTTGAAATCTTTGAATATATAGTAATTGAAGAGCAGTATTCTAGGAGTACATATCTAAAACACAGTAATACAGCACATTGCTGAAAAGTTAGGAAATAACCTTGTGCATGTACACATGTATTGCATGCATTCATTACTTCACTTCCAAACCATATATTAACTGACACATCAAAGGCACTAGGGCTCACTTGAAGGCTAAATCCATGGCAAGATTGATAACTTTCAACACATGAACTTCTGAGTCATCAAAATGCAAAAAAAAAATTAATCAGAACAGCTGAAGTGGTGAGAAACTCCAGACTTCATTTCACTTGAAAATCTGTCAGCCTAAGAGAACTTTACCAGACTGCACAAAAGCCTTGCCGCTGTGACAAACAGTAGACAGGTCAACATGCAGGATAAATTCCCAGCAGAGTTTGGTTCATACTTAATAGGCAGTGCCTTGTTCACTGTAAATTCCAGTGTCAAAGCTATAAATCCATTTTTATAACTGAAGCTCCTTCACTGCTGATGGTTGGCAAATGAGAAAAAACATTTATTGGTTGTGATGAACATCTTGCTTAACTGTGTCTGGTGGAGAGAGCTTTTGACATGTTTGGCTTTATATGTAAGGTTCTAACAAGGTTTTGCTGTGCAAGTAATTTTAGAAACTTTTAGTCACTTAACCCTGTGGTTTTTTTTCTCTCCTAGGTGTTTCTGAGTGTATCATCATGGGAATTCCAATGAACATTGGAACAGGACTCTTCAAACTGCTGCACAAAGCAGACAAGGAGTCAACCCCTCCTAGGAGGCCCCTTATTTTTGATAACGAATTTCATATTCCACTTATCAAATAAGAGCTATGCAACACCAATTTGCAAGAACATGGTATAAAGCTTAAACTAAAGTGTTTTTACTACACTCATCTCAAAATAAGTTTGAGCTGTGACTTGGTAAATTAAATATTGTCATAGGAGTTGGGCAGTTGCTCACTAGTTGCTGATACAGACTTTTAAAGGAGAATACTGGTCTATACAGAGAAGTAGAAATTGGTTTAAAATGAATGTCCGTTGACTATGCTTAGTTGCTAATATGCAAGAATTTTCCATGCTACAAATATTAAAAGATGAAACACACTGGCTGGAAGACAACTGCAGGAATTGTTACATTACTTAAATACTCCCAAAGCGTGGTGGTTGCGGTGTAACAGGAATTGACTTTCTTTTTCCTATGTCATCACAAATAAAAACATCCATTTTCTGAGATACCTCAACTCCCAACACCAAGAAGTTGAGTGTGTTTCAAATACAAAGCACAGGTGCAATGACATTGGTGCCTTTAGAAGTGGAAATTTTTGGACTGCTATCACTAGAGGATCACTAGTAGAACTGGTTAAATGACTACAAAAGGTGCATATAAGGCGGTTACAGCTAAGAATTATATGCTAAAGCATTAGGATACCAGAGGAAGGCAAGCTTTCAATCTAATAATTTCTTTACAAAAGAAATATAATTGCTATTAGGTTTTACAAGATGTATTGGTCCATGCAACATGAAAAAGCAGTATAAGCAATTTGTCTACAAGAAAAGAGCTTTTTGCTCAAGGAGACAGTGTCCTTTGTGCTGAACCTACTAATTGAGATTGGCAAAATGCTGAAGTAAGACATTATTAAATAATGGCAGAAATATACTCCCTTTTTGCCTGAAAATCATCTCTGCAGTCTATCTTTCCCTTATGGTTTATCGCTGCATTACTGAGCTTGACAAGAGATGTAACATTGTTTCAGGTGTTCTCATGACAAGGCTAAAGAAAATTCAAGTAGCAGGTGATAGTTTGTCAGTAGATGTTGATTGTAGTGCGGGATAGTAGAAGGTGGTACTTTTATCAGGGTTTTTTCCCCCCAAAGAGCAGGTGATTATTGCTGTATATCCATGGTCTGCTGGTCTGTAGACATGAAGACTTCCTGTAAGCAAAATCCTGGTAGCAACACTGACTAGTCAGGAAAATAAATCTATACTGAATAACTGTTCTCTGGGTTTACACTAACTAAACTTGGGAAAATGGGGGCAGCTGAACATGAGGGAGGGATGTACGAGACACATGCACTGTATGTGAGGTTGTAGTACAAGATCTAGATGAAGATAAAAGTTATACAGTGTACATCTGAGAAATCTGATGCTTTGTAGTATGTAGCCATTAGGATTCTTAGTGTGGCAGGTTCTTGTACCTGCTATGTTCTCGCAGTGCTGTCTAGGGTTTTAGTTTGCTTTTATCAGTACAACTGAGCTATTTTCTCTGCTCAACGATTTGTTCAACACGCTGATCTGTGAATATGGGCAGGGTGTATGTGGAAATGGCCTTTCAATGGGAGCTGCAGAAGTCACATCTGCAGTTCCTAAAGATGAGGAATGAACACTAGAAGGTTGCATTGAATGCCCAATTCACACCACCTTGTTCCTCACCCAAATGCAGAGGTATGTATTAGTAAAAGTATAAGAGAACCAGACTTTAGGAGGCATATACCAGAAGACCAACTCACTTCTATTTTGTTTGTGTAATGTGAGTGACTGAATATTGCCATTGTTAATAGAAAACAATGCTGTCTAATTTCTGCACGAAACTCTGCCTTTTGTATTATCATTTCCATAAACTCTCCTTATACTAAATTATTATTTGATGCTGTATTTTCCTCCCCAACGATTCTGTTCCAGTGAGGATTTAATGGAGGTTACAAAATGTGAAGCAAAGCTGGCATTAAAGGTTGAGAGAAGGCTTTTGTGTACATGGATGATACACAGCTAACTTTTTTCATGGTATAGCATATGTTATATTGCTGAAACTGTAAGCATGTGGCAACCTTATTTTTGTAAATGTCTCATAAGTCAGCCAAGCTTCTTTGAACTTTGTTTTGTTTTTAAAATGAGTAAAGTAGAAGTAGAAAAGCCATCTTTCATGTTTGGTAATGAAAGAACTGAAATATAATTGCTTAATTCTAGTTAGAATAATGTCTTTTCTTTCCCTTTAACCCACTGGAGTTAGAACAATGCCTTTACTTTCCCTTTAACTCATTGGAGTAATCTTCAGACTGAAGATACACTAAAACCATTCAATATAAATACAATATTCCTGAATGTACACTGATGATATGGGGGGGGGGGAATTAACTTTTAAGAACTGTTTTTTGTTTGGTTTTGTTTGTTTCTTTGGTAAGCAATATTGCCTGGAAGCAGGCACAGCAAATTTGCTTCAAATACCTTCCTAACTTGGGTCAGGATGGAAAGGAAAATGATAGCCTTCAGAGCAGCCTCCTTAACTTCTAAGGCTAAGATTGTACAATCATGAACTGAAGCCAGCTCCGTGTCTACCTGCTGCTTGCCTGGGTGTGTCCAGAGGTGACTTGGTATCTGGCACGGGGTGCATGTGCACTGTGATTTTTATTACATTCCATGGCCAATAGAAAGATACAATGCTGTGTTAAGAGAATATTAGCCCTTTTGTCTGTAGAGTCTGAGATGAAGCAGTGATTTCTGTACGTGGACGTGGATGAATTAAAAAAAGAAAAGACCTAGATGAAAAGTTATTGCTACCCTAAAATGTGAATCTGTGGCTTTTGGGTGAACTACTGAGGCATATCCAGTGTAGGTTCAGGCAGGATAAAAAGAGGACAAATTTGGAGGCCTGCAAATCACTAGTGTAGAAATTGGTACTAAACTCATTACAAGCCACTCTTAAATATTTTTGGAAAGCAGTAGCAAAATGCAACCTGCAGAGTAAACTTGCATACTTCAGTTGGATGGCCCTCTTGCAGACCAGTAGTTCTGGTCTCGGGGGGAGGTATTATTTTAAGGATATGACTAAGACACAAATTGAGGGATAACAAACTCCTCCTTGCTGCAGATAAATACTTGAGTGTAGCATGGAAGATTCTTGTAGTACTGTACTGTGTTGCTGTGTATAAAGATTTTTCTAAAGATGTAATTTTGGTGGGCTTTGTATTGGAGCAAATTACTGCTTCAGTTTTTTGTAAATATGCATAATAAAACATTTAACAACTTAAACTTTTCGGTGCTCTGTTCTAAGCATGCTTTAATGGTCTTCACTAAATTAAATATATTGCTTATCCTAATAATAAGAGGAAAAAGGAACAAAGGAGAAGTTGAAATTTTAGGTCTGCTTGCTGATGCATTGGTGGTTATGCTCAGTGAATTTGGGAGCAAATTACTGATGGTGACCTGGCCTCTTTCTCCTTCATTTATTTAAAGTAATTCAGGCAGCTTAGAATGATCAGATATTTTAAATCATTTTCCAATAACTGGAAACAGATCATTTTGAAGACTTAACACAATGCTTCAATACTAGAAAAATACTTGCATTGACAAAAATTACAGTTGATGTTGAATATGTAGTGCTCCGTACATTGAAAACATGAATGGACTCCTTGCAATTGATTCATGGCTGGAAAAAATGTGTTGGCTACAGGCCTTTAAATTCAACCTGCTGCAGTGCATTTCCGCAGCTAATCTTTAATGTCCAATCACATCTTATTTTTGTAAGGCGCCACTGAACAAAGCTCTCTGTGATACCTTACAAGTACAGTACGTGGGAATTCAGGTCTGCAACGCAAAACTTGGAAGTCAATTCATGAATACTAACGAGAAACTAGCCCTACAAAAGCCTTCTCAATCTGGTGTTAGACAGCAGTTGAAGTAGTGCAAGATCCAGATGTTTCCTGCTCTGTACAGCAGATACAAACTGAGTTAAACACGAATTTATGTTGAATGCCCCTCCTAACCAGACTGTACTTGACAATCTGTTCAACCAAAATATATTGAATATTGATAAAAATAACAAAGGGAAATCCAAAAAATTAAACTTGCTAATCAATCTTGTACTAGGTTTCTAGCTTTGCTCCTAGGCAGTTATTTGGGAGTTTTATGGACAATTCAATAAAACCAAACTAAATTTCAAAATACTTCACCAGGATTCTGGTGAGACTCCATCTCTATATTTCTCACTTCATTTTTTTAAAACCAAATTGATGTTGCAGGATCTTTCGTCTCAACTTACACCAGACCCATCTGGTTGCAGCCAATAAGTAATTGTTTCAAATGCTGACTTAATTGTCTAGTGAAAGTTCCAACAATGGGACCCATCTGATCAGTAAATTAAACTTTCAAAAATTATTTCCTTTTGTGATATGGTTTTAGGAGTTCCGGGTTAACAGATAATCCAGAACATAACATTTCAGATTGCAAAAGTATCATTGCAATCCATGGTATATTTGATGCCCCAGAATTGGTTATGTGCTGATTAAGTAAGGACACCTGTGAAAATAGTGCTCCAATACTATAGCTAACACCCCAGAGCCAGGGGGCTCATTAGATATAACAGCCTTGCAAAATCTTGTTCACCAAATGTGCATAGGAAGCTTTCCTGTATGTGTATGACCAATGCATCCAGCTTCTGCAGAGTACAAGCACTTAAGGTCTATGATTACAAAAGAATCTCAAATATGATAGTGTAACCAATGCTGCTGCAGCCAAGCCATTGAGAGCAACTGTAGTTGTTGCACTGTCAGGTTGAAGGGGGAGCGCTCCTCCCTCTGTGTTGCCAACCTCAAGCATTAAAAATCATGAGACTGTCTTTAAATCATTTCTTTTTTAAAAATTGGGTTTCTTAGGTTTGCCTTCTAGTTTTTAGCCTTTAGGGTTCATGTTTTCAACAACAACAAAAAATTCTCCACAACCATAACTAGAACCTTTCCTTGATGGATTTTTGAAAGCAGAGTCCCATGTAATGATCAGTCTCCAAGAGTTGGGGTATTAAGGAAAACACTAAATATTGCAAGACCTGTAGTAAAACTGTGACACTTTGGAACCATGTGGGCCTCTGCCTTGCAACTGAGCAAATGGAGAAGCAGCTGCAATGGTCCCCTTCTGGCACTTCTGGACTCTTCCCTATTCTGGGCCTGTTTACAGGGGCACTGAAGACTAGCAGTTGCCCTGGGCTGCACTTTTTCTGGGTCAGGCCAGCTTCTCTCCCATCACTTACCTTTGGCCTAAAACTGGAAGTTTTGAAAACTGGGTTTTTTGACAATTTCTGCATCAAGAGTCTGTTCTGCAGAAATGTTCTTTATTTTTTTATCGTAAAACATTTTGGTCAAACCAAATTGTTCATTTTGGAAACTCTGCCACACTGCTTCATGGGTACTGTAGCTAAGTTATTTCATGTCCCCATTGTCTTCTGAGCTGGGCTCCCCATCCAGACTACATCTTCCATGAAGCCTTTCCCTTCCAGTCTTCCTCAGGTCCATGCTTGCCCTCTGTGCTGCAAGTGGGAGATGTAGTCTGACCAGGCGGCCCAGCCTAAAGAGGAGAATGGGAGCACGAAGCCCTGTGATTTCCAAATCAATGTTGCATCAAAAAATTAGACATAGATTTTATTCATTTTCATTGAAGTTTGGGGGTGTGGGGAGGGAAAACATTTCCCAACCTGTTCTACTGTAGAGACCTGTCCCGGAGCACCCTCCTCTGCAGTCCTGCCCTGTTCTCCCACAGCTGGTCCTAGACTGTTCCCACCCCTCTGCCTCCCTAGGGAAAGAAACCTGCCTTCTTTATCACCTACACAGTAGGGGGCAAAAACCCCAGCTGCTCTATGGCCATTCCTTAGATGGGGCT